TGTTATACAGATAGTACAAAATAAAGATCTAAGCTAAAAGAGATCTAAAGGAAGATAATCTAATCAAAATTATTACAATAATCTATTATAATAGAAGAGGTAAATGAAAGTAAATATCAAAGTAAAAGAAATAAAAATAATTATAAGTACAATTCAAATAATTTTTAGATGTAAAAGAATTATTACTAATTAAATATATTTATTTTATATTTAAAAACAGAAATATTTATATATATTTGAAGTTATACAGATTTTAATTGAGCTTTACTTATAACTTATTTATAATATTTATAAATATAAAATAAGAATTAAATAATAAATTATAAACTAAAAAATAAAATATATATATTAATTAAAAAATAATATAAATAATAAAAGTAAAATAAATAATAAATATGATAAATATTTTATAAAAAAAGATAACTAATATTAAATAAAAAAAATAAATAAAATTTATTTCTGAACTATTTCTGAAGTATAATTAAACTATTAATAAATTATTTCTGAATTATAACTGATTTTGAGTAAATTATATATTTATAATTCTAAATAATTTCTGAAGTATTACTAAATTATTACTAAAGTATAATTAAAATTAATTAATATATTAATTAAATTATTCTAAATATATACTTTCTAATAAATAATTAATTGATTAAAAATCTGAAATTTAAAAAATTATGAAATTAAAAAAATTTATATTATTATAATAATAATATTCTAGTTATTAATAATATAATATTATTATTTGCTTTATATTTATTAAGATATTAATATATAACTATATAATTAAAAAGATAATAATATATTATACTTATATTTTCTCTAAAGATAACTTTTTAATTAATTATAACTTATAATAGTTAATTAGAAAATTATAATTTAATTATAATTAATTATAATAATTAATCAGAAATTATAATTAAGTTATAATTAATTATAATATTATTATAAGTTTTTTTATCTGTAATTTCTTGAACTAAAAAAATAATATTATTCAAATAAGTATATTTTCATTAAATTCTTCTAAATATATTAATAGTTTAACTGAAAAATAAGATAAGAACTTTAAATCAAAACTTTTTTTTAATATTTTGATAAGTTTAATTATATTTTATATAAATTGATCAAATTATTTACTATTTATCTTTATTAAATTAAAAATATTTAAATTAAAATATATATAAAATATGTAATATATAATATAATATAAGATATTAAAAGATAATATTTATAATAATTATATTCACTATTATTAAGTTATAAGATTATTTTGTTAATAATTATAAATAAAAATAATTTTAATTTATAGACTTATAATTTTATTATTTGAATAATATTTAGATTTAAAGATAATTTACAGAATAAAAAGAATATATTTATAAAAAAAGAAATGAATAAATATGAAATATAAATAAATTAATAATAATTTTTAATTAAAATATATATGACTTAAATATAATTAATTAATTTAATTTGTATCTTTAGAGAGTAACTAATCATAATTCAATATGATAAATAATAATATAAATATAATAAATAAAGAACAAACTAAAGAATAAAAAAATATTAATAAATTAAATTTGAAATATATAAATAATTATTTATATATCTAATATAAAATTGATTTTTAAAAAAAGTAATATAGAAAATAATTTATTATATAGATAATACAAAATAAAAATCTAATACTAAAGAAGATAATCTAATCAAAAAATTATTATAAATATATATAAAACTACTTAGATAACTGCTGGATATTATATATAAAATATAAATTATTATACTTTTACTTAACTTAAAAGTATAAAAAAATGAAAAAGTGATTAAGTAAATAATTCTTTTTTAGTATCTATTCAAAATCACAATTCTGAAAGTATTATTAGAACTTTAAACTATCTTTTCAGACTGAATAATTGATAGAGTTAGATAATATTAGAGAAATAATTGGCATAAGACAGTTCAATAAGTGACATTACTCGCTATCTAATAAAATAACTTTTATTAATATATATATTAGATATAGGTATTATTTATTTAAATTTTTAATAAATCAGTTCTTATTGAAAATACTTTTTAATAAATGATAAAAAGTCATAAGTAAAGTACTTTTGTACCAGTAAGATATTCTGAAGTACTTTTTGTTTATTACTATTAATAATATTAGGCTGGCTTAAAATAAGTATAATTGAAAGAAGATCTTAGCATTTATGTCAAAAGGTAATGTTTTTCAGTACTAAGTAAAGTTAACGTAGATTTGGATAAAAAGCATGCAACTAATATATAATAAAAGTACAAAAGGCAACAATTTGAACTTGTCTAAGATGAAAAAGCAGTTTGATATAAGCATAAAGAAGTTTTCTCACCTCAAAATCTCAATTTCACATATTATACAAATACAAATTCATATAAAAATCATCAATATAGACATGTCTTGTGACTGCTAAATATATATTTAGAAAATTAAAATTTGGTTTATAGCAAGAAATTTTAATCCCACTGGAAAATTTATGAGTTCATGAAATAGGAGGAGTTTGAAAATTAAGTAATTAATTGGCTATAACTCATCACTTTTGGTTAATTCATTCACATATTTGTCCCAAATCTTTCTATTATCTCGTACATAAAGATATAATTCATATTTTTTGGAAATCTGTGAGAGTTATTTTACTTTTAGTTGGCATTTTTAAATAGATAATAACAAGAACTGAAGCAAAATTACGAAACAAAAAAAAATCCGAATAATGAGTTAAGTTAAATGAAGGATTAAAGAATTGGATAAGATAAAAGAATTTACGTATCATTAGCTAAAGTAAGTAAATACATGACTTGGTTAACTTATGGTCATTGCAAAGGACCAGGATCTAGTTATTTGCAACAATCGAGTATAATGGCAACGACTAGAATAATGACAATAATCAGAACCCAATAAACAAAATCTCGACAATTCATAATCCCGACAAATTAAATAGCATAGTCCATCATGTGATCTGTGTCCAATAATAGTGCTCAAATTTTTATCAAACCCGGCAAACCAAATCCAACACAAGATAGAAAGCTCAATGCCTAAATCTGTCTTGGAATACTGATTAAAAATGTCGGGATGGCAATTTTACATATAATCTTATCTCTGTCCTAACCGTTACCCTTATCATGACCTTACGAATCATTAAAATTATTAATAAGATGCGCCCAGGATGTTGAATTGTCAGAATCATAAACTGTAGGGATGTCGAGATTATGAACTGTCGGGACGTTGAATTGTTAGGATTTTGTTTGTCAGGCTATTGGATGTTAAGATTTTAGATGTCAGCTAATGGACGGTTCCATCAATGACCAGATGAATTGATTAATTTGGAACAGTTGACTAAATCAAATTAGAATGTATATTCGTAATTTTTACAAATCACATGAAGTGCACACTTTGAATATAGAAAATTAAAATTTATTGCATATACAGAATATAAAGAATGTATTAGTAATTAAGTTCCAAGCTTGGGACCGAGAAAATATAATTTTAATATCTTATATTCTAAAAGGGAACATGCATATTGAAACGTAACACAAATACATGTACATGTATAGAAATAATATAAAATAGTGAACTGGGAAAATTCGGTGAGAAAAAATTTTATAGCTAGCTAGCTAGTTGACATTAACACTCAAATAATACTAGCACTAATAATGATGGTATTTACATATGTTTTTAACTTATTCTCCCTGCTGGGGAACTATTTAAAAATGCTAGTCGGATAAATATTAACTAGTAAGTAATATATTAGTAGTATAAAATTATGCGGAAAGAAATCTCAATCCTGTGAAATAAAGAAAAAAATCGTGTTGTTCGCATATATGATATATTCTCGGCAGTAATATAAGAAATGAAAAAATATAATAGTATTAATTCACGGATGATTCTATAAAATCATTTTCGAGTTATTGTTATTGTTATTATTTAGTAGTAATAGTAATAATTGTTGTTATTGTTGTTAATTTTTTATATTATTGCAAGAGAGAAGAGATCATCCAAAATTTTAAGTTTAATCAGAGTCTTCCGCCTTCATTCTTCCTACAAGAGTTTCGTAAAGATCTACCAAAGAACTCCTCAATATTGCAAAAATGTATCCTATTCCGCCAAAAAAGTAAATTCTTTATTTTCAAATACTTTCCTCCTCATTCTTTCCCTTCTAGATATGATGTTGATTAATTTTTTTGATTCTTTCAGATTAGATAGACAGACCAATTATTAGGTCATTCCAACTCCGTCAACTACACGCGAAAAGTAACCACCTCCTGCTGTCGAATTGATGTTAGCAGCGCACATCTCAGTATTTACAGCAACTTTAGGTGTTCCAGCAGCAGCAGCAGCATTACCAATCCTAGCACACGTGTTGTTATAATCAATACCGGCTCCGATCGATGGACGTGTACCATGTAATGAAGATTGAAGAGATTCAATTGGGCACCAAAACCTACCAACAACACCCAAACCAGGGGGAGCAACCATAATAGGGGCCGAATCAAAAGATCCACCAGAATTAACAGCGATACTTTCTTCTATCTTTTTAGCAGAATTTTTTGGTGTTGTTATTATGAGATCTAAGAAAAGGGAAGGCAAAACCACCGATTCCATTTATTATGTTCATGCCTTACTGAGCTTGAACAGATCCGTAATGTGACTGGACGTATTTCGTGGAGGGGAATTGTTGTCACGCCAGCAGCATTATTATTATAATTAGGACCAATAATGGAATTTGAACTATTTCCATTGTTTCCAACAAGTGAATGATATTGAGACGTGGATGGATGTACCGTTGGAACCATAGGAAGATCCACAGGCGTTGGTGGATTACTATTCACAAACAAAGAATTATTTCCCAAGTTATGGAATTTATGCGATCAATTACTACGTTGATGAAACAAAGGTGGCGTTCTATTCAAATGATCATTCAACGAATGCATCGGGATCGTTGTTGAAGTAGAATATAAGGACAGTTGACGATATTGGGTTGTGCTATTCGAGGTCTTTTTCAAATTCGCAAAGTTGTTGTCTACACCATGAGGCGGAAATGAAAAAGATCGTGAACCATAGCTTCCGGAGATTTCTTGTCCTAATGATGATGGAAAAGTTGATGTTGACGTCGAATAATTTGGGTTTCTTTGAAAAATCGAAGAATAACCGGGGGTTTAGACTTTGGGGTTATCAGCAAATCCGCGTTCAAAAGTGGCATTGATTGAAGATGCTGTTGATAATTATTAATCGTCGCAGAGTTATTTTGTTGCATAAACAACTCCTCTTGCTGTTGTTCATAATTATAATTCGCATTTTGTTGAGCAACGATATTTATTGGTTTGAACTGAAGTAAGGGTTGTTGCATTGTAGAACTTTGAATTGATGACTGGCTTAAAGACATTAGATTATTCATACCGTTGTTGTTGTTAAAAGTGGATGGAAATTGTTGTCCGTTTTGATTTCGAATTTAAATCGATATTTCCTTGTGCCGATGAATGGTTCCTCCAAAGTTTGATTTAACTGACGGAAGATGATAACCAATAGGATTCAAATTCGAAGGTGATGGTGATTGTTGATGACGTGGTGGTTGTGATTGATGTTGATGCATTTCATCAATTATATTCTTAAGATTGATGGTTGGCATGCTATATCTTTTGACTTTTGCAAGTGAGATGTTGATCCATTGCTAGAATTATTAGGGTTACGATTCGGACCATAATAAGAATTAATCAACGCTTGCTTAGCACGCACAGGCGAAGTAAGCCCAAATGGCTGAGCACGTCCAATAGGAGGTTAGGGTGGTTGGATTACATTTGCACTAGTGGCGGTAGTGGTTTGCGTTTTTGGCTGGCAACGACGAACAATCTCAACTTGTTATGGCTCTGGCACAAGCATCAAAGTATACTTATATGATTGTTACAAAGTATTTGGTCTTTGAGTCCAAGTTTGTTGTTGATCTTACTGCTGTTGCCTTTGTTGCTGAGCTTCAGCAGCGATGGCAATCGACGCAGCATTTCTCAAAGAAGCATCCGAAGCGAATTTATTTCTTTGATGAAGCGACTGTTGACGTTGCTTTTGCGTATACTCATTAAGACATTGTAGCCAGTGCATGTATTCTGTATCTCACACGAATAATTTGAAATCCAAACTATCGAGAAATTCCATCTCCATAATGTAAGTTCCTTGACACTAATATTTGTCACTTCTGACCAGGTTTGGTTCGTAAATATATTATCGTCAAGAAACTTGCTAGCCAACATCAATGCAACGGTGAATAAATGATATTCTGATCCCTTATTCCCGGTAGACATTGTTCCATTTTTCACCAATTTTTGGACATATTTAAGTGACAAAAAAACAACAGATTCTGAGAGCTGAGTCAGTTGAAGAACCTAAAAAACATCAAATAGTAAAATAAAGATGAATCATTTTTGATGATGATGATCTTGTTATTTGATAAAGGGACATGCCTGATTACAGAAATTTTTGAACTGAGGGCTCGCAGTTGGTGAGATATTATTATGATTCGATGCAGGTGGAGCGCCATATTGACTAGCCAAGATAAAAGAATGTCTTATAAAATGCAACATTCGATAAACCATATTCGAAGCGAACTCGATCAACTTCAAAGTGCTCGAGTAATTATGATGGTTATTAATAGAAGACTGATGTTGTTTGCTTGCTGTTTCATTATTATTATTATTATTGTTGACCTGGCGCCCAACAACGGATGAAGTATAAACTACAGGCTTGTTCATGAGATACTGTTGCTGAGGTTGAAGTTGGTTCAAATGATGAGCTGCCAGGTTCTGATAATTGTGTGGAAATAGTGCTGGCGGTACTGCTGTCCGAAGATAGGCGGGTAACCCATCATAAGCTGTCTGAGAGATCGTACCGGACATTACAGAAATATAATTGGTTAAAGTTGGAATAGGCGCGTAGTTTGTGTGATATGCTCTCTAGTACGGAAGAATATTATAAACTCCAGCTATTTTGAAAATAATATAGAGAATTATTGTATGTTAATAAAATTATATAAAGGACGATTTTGGTAGAAATGAAAAAAAATGTTATTTAGCTATTTAATAATTATTTAATTAAAATAAAATAAAATAAAATAAAATAAAAGGGTAATACACTAGCGTAAAGAGATAAGAAGGAAAATAAAGAAGACTCTTTCCTTCGTTGAGAAAAATGAAAACACTCATATACATATTACGACGGGGGAGAAAGCGCGGCGAAGAGAAAGAATAATAAAGAGGTCTGTGCAAAGCAGAACCGACTATTAAGTATTTGTGTAGTAGTTATTCACTATAAACTACCACTACAAGGGCAAGGTGACGAATGAGGACTGGGCAATTCTATGGTCTCAACATAAACCAGGTCTTTAATTTACCTGTGGTTTTTTATGTTTTTAAATACTACTTACTATTAGGCTTAGTAATTCGCACCTCCGCTTTTGATTGATTGGTATTGGTTGGTTCTGTCTGAGCGTAATAATATTGTTTTTTTAGACAAGTGCTGGGTGTATGTGTTCTGTTTTTTATTATTATATTTGACTCGGAGCAAATGTGATATGAGCTATCAAAAATTCGGTTTTATTTAATTCATTGTTGATTGTGTGCAACCCATGCACACGAAAAAATGTAAATCATTCCTGATCACCATGCATTAAGCCGGTCCCGGGATATATCAATTCGATATATGTTTTCGATGACAAAAAAGTCAAAGTATGTTGATTGCAAACACACCTATCGTTAGTTATTTTGAAACGATGACATGATGGTGATGATAGTGATGAGAAACCGATGTATTTTTATATAATTGGACAAGTATGATCAAATATACACACGATAATTGCTATTGTCACCTGAATATTACCAGTGATGCCGGCATATTGAAATGATCTGAAATTTTATTATTTAATATAAATTGAAAACTTTAATCTTTTCTAATATGAGAATCCTTTTTTTCCTTAATACGCGTATTTCAATTGACTCTGGGTGAAACGGGGTGGTGTCCAATGCAACAACACTAAAAAGATTTTTCTTCTTTGCTCTTTTATGCGCCGCCAAAACAAAATCAGACAAAAAGATAATTTGTTGAGCACGATAAGGTTTAAGTGCCCCAAGACTCTGCAACTTCTGAAAATAACTTTCGAATCGTGAATCGAGATTTCCTCTTTGTTTGTATGCATTTCCAGCAACAGATCAATTATTGTCTCATTCCATTACAAACAATATGACAATAGTCCAAGATCAGAGAGTGGTTTCTCGGGTGTCCTCTGCCTTTGATAATTCATATGAGAAAGAAATTAATAATCTACCATAACCTTGTTTTTGATATTGCAATAATGTCAAGATGTAGGTAAGATTTGGCCTTCCTGACTATCTTTCTCTTTAAATCAAAATGTATTTGAAGAAAATGTGCATTCACAGAGAGTAAATTTAGAGAAATTTATCTGTATTCAATTAAATACATTTAAAATACATTTCTGAAGTTCAAGATTAGTAAAATCTCATAAAATTAGATGTGCATACAAAAGGTTTATCTATATCTGAGTCAAAAAATTTAAATTAATATCTGATGAAACTATTTTTATAATGACAAATGATATGACAAACCATTTATCAGAAGAAATCTGCAGTAATTAATAAACCTGTAATATTGATTATTATGTTCTTAATCAAAAGTAATTATTTCAATCAACTTTTTAACTTTCAATATCTGAAAGTCTTATCAATATGTGATTCTAATTTGGAGAATATTATAATTAAAATGTTTATTGAAATATCTAAAGTATATCAAAATATCTAAAATATGTCAAAATATTAAAATACTTAAATATTAATTAAATATCTAGTTAAGAATAGCATAAAATTAGTGGTTAAGAATTAATCAGTTAATAGTTAATCAGTTAGTATTATTATATAAAATTATAAATATATATATATATATATATAGATAGATAGATTTTAAGAATTGAAATACAAGTTATTTAATTATTAATTAATTATTTATTAATAATATTTAATATTATTATGCTTGTTATAATAACTTTATTTATTAAATAATAGTTTATCTATTATAATTCTATATATTATTTCAAATATATAAATATTTATAATATTAATATATAGATTTTATTAGTATTTTTATCTTATAATATAAAAAAATTACTATTATAAGTACTCTTTCTTATAAGCTAAATAAGATTAAATACAAGTATAAAATTATTTATTTAAGCTATAAAAAAAGCTATAAAGATAAAATATAAATATTGCAAGCTAAAAATAAATTATAAAATATAAAAATATCTTGAATTCTATATCTAATATTATTATAATAAAGAAAAAACATATAATAATATATTATAAATAAGAGAATAAACTGATAAATATATAAAAGAAAAAATAAAAAAGAAAAGAAAAAGAACTGATTAAAAAAAGAATAAAACTTAAATAGAAATTAATTATAATATAAATAAATATAAAATTATATTATTTTATATTAATAATATTTTATTTTAATTTAAAAATAAACTCAAAAATACAAAACTAAAATAATAAATCAAATATTTAGAATTATATTTATTTATAATTAAAGTATTTAACTTTAACTTAATAATTTAATAAACAAAAAAATCAAAATTATATCTAACTTATTTATTCTGAAAATTTTTAGTTTATTATTTGAATTAATTAATTATAATAATTTTTTAGTTTAGAATTTTTATATATAAAAATATTATATTTAAGTAATTCAAGAAAAAATTTATAATAACTTGTTATTATATTAATTAATTATTTTTTATCTTTTATTATCAAATTTTTATAATATAAAAAAAATACTATTTTTATTTATATATTTTTTAAATTCTTAATTTTTATCTTTAATTATATTAAATAATTATTAAATTAAGAAAAAGATTTATATACTAATTATTTTATAATATTATAATAATATTAAATAGAATTATAATTTAAAATAATTTTAAAAATATTAAAAGAATATTAAAAAAATAAAAAAGATAAAATAATATTATAATAAAGTTAAAAAGAATTATAATAGTATTAAAAAAATTAAAATAGTCTTAAGAAAAATAATTCATATTAAAAATAGATATTTAATATTAAAATATAATAATTAATATAAAATTTCAAAATATTAATAAAAATAAAGAAATTTATAAAATTTAATATAATTTATAAGAATATAAAAGTTATTACTATTATAATCTTCTTGTTACATATTGTAATATATTCAGATAATTCATACAGAAAAGTCAGGATATAGTATTATATCAGGAAAATTCACACAGAAGATTCAAGATATAAGCAATATTATTTGAAGTAAAATTCACATAGAAAACTAAATCAAAAGCAGACAAGAAATTATATTTAAAACTTATTTTTTATTTGATACTTTATTACTTATTAAAATTATAGAACAGTGAAACATTAGAGAGTTTAGTAAAATCAATGAAGAGGAGATGTATGTTAGTAATAGAGAGTAAAGGCGATACTAT